ACTCATGTAGGGAGGAGGTTGGGAACTGCTGCCCTTAAGCACTGAGCAGGCCCGTGGAGGAGCTGGGTGGGGAGATCGGAATGTAGGCTGCGGGCAGGGCTGCATGTGGCTCACCTGCTGTCTCTCTGACCTATTCCCTGGCCCAGGCTCTATGGTTTCAAGATCCATCCGATGGCCTACCAGCTGCAGCTCCAAGCCGCTAGCAACTTCAAGAGCCCAGTCAAGACGATTCGCTGATTCCTCACCCCCATCCCCAATCCTTTGCTGCCACCTTGTCAGCAACCCTCTATGGTTTTTAGTTTAAATTAAAGGAGTCATTATTGTGGTGGGAATATGAAATAAAGTGGAAGAAAAGGCCATGAGCTGGTCGCTGGTGCTTGGGGTTAGGGAAGGGAGGGTAGTGTGCTGGATGCCAGGGGCCCTCATGGCCCGGCCCACCCTCCCCCCGTTGAAAGCTGGCACGGATATGTGCCTGGTGGATTAGTGATGTTTTAGTAGCAGAGCAGAATCCTAGGACTGGATGTGGGGGTGTGCAAAGTCCCAAAGAAAAGACCCAGAGAAAGGTCAGACTTCAAAGACTAGAGAGATGTTTGCTTTGGTTGGGAGGACACCTATGGCTGTTTACACAGTAAGGGTCATAACACTCTGAGTTTTGGTTTTACAGGGAAAGTGGTTCGGAAATAAGGGGCGGAGAGAAGCGGGAAAAGGCCCAAAATTGCTGCCGGTGTGGTTCTGTGCCCCCCGCTGGGGAAGCTGAGACATGCTCATCTCAAAAGGACAGGGAGGCCGAGTTCCTGGCCAGAGTTCCGGCACAATGGGGAATGGCTCTCGTGTGAGGGAGGGCGGCATGTGGAGCTGGACACAGAAGCTAATTCATGGACCCTGAGGGGCAGGAATAGGTGTTTGGGAAGCACACTGGATACAGGCCCAGGTCCTGCCCGTCTCGGCCACTGCGCCCACATTCAGAGAGCAGGCCTCGTGGGTGAGGACACACTGTTCCTCCTGCCAAGTTAATCACTTCCTGCCCCAGGCAGGAATATAGCTCTGCCCACGGCAGCTCCTGCCCAGACTCAAAACCCCCCTGCAGCTCAGGACCCAGGAGCATGGTCCTGGGAAGGTGGAGTTGCAGGGCACCCCTCAGGCACTGCCCCTCTCCCCAGAATGCCATCATGAAGACACATATGCTTGTAGGTGTGCTGGTCGTGGTAGGCTTCGCAGTGGGAAAAGGTGAGTGGGGCCCAGGGGCAGGAAGGGAGGGGGTGGGGCAGGGACCTTGGAGTGAGCTCTGCTCCATCCCTCTGTCTTCCTCAGTTCCTGTTCCTGAACTCCGGACCTGCCACCTCTGCCTCTTAGAAGACCCTGCTGCAGGATGCATTTCCGGCTCAGAGAAATGCACCATCGGTAGCTCATCCCCATGCATGGTCATCACCATCTATTACGGTGAGTTCAAGACTCAGGAAGGGGCTGCTGGTGAGACGGCCCATTGCTTGGTCTCATAGATGAGGGCTGCTTGGGGCACAAGAAGGAGAGAGGAGGATCCCGGAAGGTGGGGTCAGGAGTTTGGGGCGGGGGGGGAGGGGGTAACGAAACTAAATTTCTGAAGCTGTCTGGGGTGGAAGTTGGGTCTGATAAGGGATGGGGAGAGTTCTTGGTAGGGGTGCCAAGTTTGGAGACTGCGGGAGGCAACGGCTTATGAGCTGTTCTCTTCCTCCAGATACCAGGGTTCGCTTCCTCATCCGAGGCTGTGGACAGTACAATTCTTACCGCTGCCAAGAAAAACGCAACACCTACTTCTCAGAGTACTGGTACCATGCCCAGTGCTGCCAGTACGATTACTGCAACTCATGGTCCAGCCCTCAGCTCCAAAGCTCCCAACCTGAGCCCCCTGGTGGGGCCCTGAGCCTGCCTCTGTCCAAGTCCCAGATCCAATGGTTCTACCAGGCCCTGAACCTCTCACTGCCCCTCCCCAGCTCCCATGATGGGAAGGAGCCCAAAGGCCTGGACCCCCTGGCTGCCCTGCCCTTGAACCTGGGCTTGTCTGTTGCCGACCTGCGCCGCATGTACTTGTTCCTCAACAATTCGGGGCTTTTGGTTCTTCCCTGGGCAGGGCCCTGACCCCTTACACTTCTTGAATTGCAGTTTGTTCAGCATCTCTCCCAACACCCAACCCCCTGCTCTGGCCTCTCAGAACTCAGCTTCTCTGCTCTGCTCTTTCAGACCTTCCCTTTGTCCTCGTGTCTACATGGCTCTGGTTCCATTCCCTCCTCAGAAACCCGTCATGCCCAGTGCCCTCCTTCCTCCTGGAGAATAATCTCAAGTGCAGATCTGCTAGGCTGGCCTGGGAAGGCAGCAGCTCCCTTGTCCTTTTCCCACCTGAGTGTGCCGTCACCCCATCTTCCTCGTCCCCTCTGGTCTGGTCACCTGCCACCTCCATTTAGTTCTGGCTGCCTCCCGTCCTGTGCCTGTCTCAGACGCAGGCCAGACTGGGTTTGTAGCGAGGAGGATGAGGGTTGAGCTGTGCAGATTCCTGGTTGGGCACCCTGGTGTCCCTGCCTCACTGTCTACCACTCCACTCCCACCCGGGTCGCCTGCTGCCTTTCTCAGCTCTTGTTCTGGTCGCTGGCCTCCTCAGCCTCACTCCATGTCACTGAGTCCTGATACCCACTTCCATAGGTGCCCAAGGGAGGGGAGAGGGTCTGTCCTGCTCTTCTCCGTGTCCCCCGATTTCCCTCCACAATAAACAGACAGGGTTAAGTCTGAGTCACATTGTTTATGGGGTTAGGCTCAGGTGTGGGCAGGTGTAGTCGGGTGAAAAAGTTAATTGGGTGTGGGGTTCAAATGGTTGCAGAGCTCTGCCCACTCCACCTGGTTTTGTGGCTTCTGGCCTGCCCCAAAGGCCCACATCCATCCCACCCTCTGCTCAGCGAGAGATCAAAGCTTGAGGATTATGATGCCTCCCGGCCTTAAATGTACCCTACAAAACCTAGGAAGTTCAGTCCAGGTGATGTCAGATTTTTCCACCTGAAAGAGGAGGGAAAACTCAGGAGCAAACCTAAGGGCCCAAGTCTGCACCTCAGTCACCTAGTGCTGAGGGACCTGTTTCCTGCCTGTCTTCTTTTAATTTTGTATGTGTGTTTTTTTCCAATTGATTTCTTTAGAGAAACACTGATGGTTTTAACTGCCTCCTGCATGCCCTCTACTGGGGATTGAGCCAGAAACCAGAATGTGACCTGGTGCATGGGGTGACACCCAACCAACTGCACCACCGGCCGTATCTGCCTGTCCATCCTTTTTAGGTTCCTGGTATCCAGGACCCCTTAGCTGGGGGCCTTTGATTTTATTTTTGAAAATGGCAAATATCCTGAAAGCAATAATTAATAGTCGTACTCCCTTTTCCTTACATTCAACAAACTACACACGCCTGCTCCGTGCCAGGCCCAGTGTTAAGCACCAAGACTCAGAAGGTACAGCCAGGTCTGCCCTTCCACATCTCAACCCATTGCTGGGGTGGTAAGTCCATTCCGGAGAAGTAGTGCAGCCTCGCGGCCGGGAGCGCGATCTCGGCTCCCCCACGTGGGTAAGCTGGTCTCTCCTCAGGTCCATGGCGAGTGCACGTGCACGTACACACACGGCTTCGCGCAAACACACGTGCCTTCGGGACAAGCTGACTTAGGCCTATCTGTTTTTAAACCTCTGGCAAAACATATATAAGATGGGCTTTTGAAAACCACCCACCAGCCGAAACCGGTTTGGCTCAGTGGCTAGAGCGTCGGCCTGCGGACTGAAAGGTCCCAGGTTCGATTCCGGTCAAGGGCATGTACCTTGGTTGCGGGCACATCCCCAGTAGGAGATGTGCAGGAGGCAGCGATCAATGTTTCTCTCATTGATGTTTCTAACTATCTCCCTTCCTCTCTGTAAAACATCAATAAAATATATTTTTTAAAAAAAAGAAAACCACCCACCTGTGTTAGCAGTTTTAAGCTGGCATAAAGGCCTCTGGTACCCAAAGCTGCTTCTAGGCACTGCCCCCAGCTCGGCGTCACCTCTACCCCGAGCTGGAGCAGCTCGGCTGGGTTTTGTCTGCTGGCTTTAAATGGCATCATACAGCATATACTCATGTCCACGGCACTGACACTGGCCACGTGTTAACTCCATGGCCTGTGCTCTGGTGGGAAACACCAACGTTGATGTTTAGGTCAGGAGGCAGTTGGAGGGACAAAGAGGTGTAAGCCTGTGTGTCCCCCTCTTGCTGGGCCCACTATTCCCCATACTTGATTTCGGTATAGGACAGAAAGGCCCAAACTGGAAGACAGCCTCAGAGGCTGAGGACCCCAAGGCCCGAAACAAGCGTAGAGCCATGGTCCTGAGGGAGCTGAGCCTGGGACAAAGCCCCGGGCTCCACGAGGCCCAGCAGCTCTCACCCTTCTCCCTGGACCTGCCTTGCACAGCCCACGCCCACCGACACCTCCCCGCAGGCCTCCCTGCAGTTCCCACATGGCTCTGGGCTGACAGCACTAACGGGTACCCACTGCCCTTTTGGCTGGCACTGTATCTCCTTCCAGTTCCTCTTCACCTGTTTGTGCTTAGAGCTGAATCAGACACCAAGACAGGCGAGAGCAGAGCTCAGAAGAGCTGGGAGCCCCTTACCTGTCCCCCAATGGGGCTGCCAGGCAGGACCCCCCCTCAGCCTCCACCACCACCGGAAGAGAGACCATACAGATTGTACACCAATTTATTCTGCAGGAACACCTCACGAGAGAGGCCTTGGTGGGAGGAAGGGAGAAGGCCAGAGCAGAGCAAAGGCTGCCTAGAGGTGGGAGAAGAGGCGAGGGAAGCTGTCAGACTGTGAGGACTCACAGGGAAAACTCCAGAGATGTCTGGAGAGGGAGCTTGGGCAGGGGCAGAGTGTGAAGGGGGGTGCTGAGGGGCAGCAAGCAAGAGGCAACTAAGGCTGGGTCAGGTAACCTGGGGGGGGGGGGGCGACTGCTGGGTGGGCTAGAAGTTGTCCTGGCTGCGCCCAGGTGGGAACCAGGAAGCTGGCTGGACACCGGCAACATTTTACTGCAAAGGTCTCTGCAGACGTCCTACAGGATTAGAGCGCTCGGTTCTGTGGGCTGTTGCAGAAATCCTGGAAGCAGCATCGAGAGAACATCCAGAAGCCAAACACAGGGGAAGTGCGGGTGTGCGAGCAGTCACTCATCTGCTCCTTGCGGCAACAGTCACTCACCATGATGTCAGACCCGCTACCTGCAACAGCAACACGTCCCTGCAGAGCCCAAACCCTCTTCTCCCTCCCTCCACTTGGACCTACACCGCCCACACCCTCCCCTGCACCCCCAAACGCAGAGACTCCTGGAACTGGGCAGGGCAGGGAGTGCCAGGAAAAGGAGTCTTATTATTATTAACTCCGTTTTGCCGCCCTGCCGCCCCGGTATTAGAGGGTGGAAAATCCCTGCCTGAGAGAGTTGAAGAGCGGAGGTCACCACGGTCCTACAAGTCCCACAGCGGGTGGCAGGTGGGCCTGACGCCCAGGCCCCGGCGAGGAGCGCTGTGCGCGGGTTGGTGGGGCACAGACGCTGTTTACAAACCGCTAGGGAAACGTTACCTTCCCATAACTGTTAAGTTTAAAAAGCAAGTGCAGAACAGTGTCTACAGGGCTGTGTACTGTTTGCGGGAGAAGGAGGTAAAGGTAGAGTACATGTATATAGGGCGGGATGCCCAAAAAGATCACAGAAAGGGGAATCCAGACAAAAGAGTGGTTTTTGTTTTCGTGCGTGGGAGCTGGGGCCAGTGTTGGACCACGTCTGTGCAGCTATCTGGGAAGCGTGTGAGGCGATGTGAACACAGGCAGCTCTGTGCCGCGGTGGTGGAGTGCCATCTCTGGAGCCACCACAGGTTGTGGCTCAGCCCTTGGAGACGGCAGGTGTGGGCCTTTCCCAGCCTCTTTCCTCAGCTGTGGAACACCTCAGAGGGCTGTAAGTGCCTGGCACAGTGCTTGGCCCAGAGGCTGTGTTAGGGTTTGTTAACTAAGAAGGTGAGCGGCCAGGTAGAAGAACCAGCATGAAGAACAAAGGGATGGACAACTTGGGGCAAGTGGAAAATTGAGGGGAGGTGTCCAGAGGGCAATTTGTTGGACAGTGTGGCCACCGCTCAGACTCTGTGATGTGGCTGCGCGGACGCCAGGGAAGCAGGTAAGTTCCTCTGGGAGAGTGAAATGGGAAGATAGCCAAAGAACATGAACCCTTAAGGGTGAAGGAGAACGAGGCAAGACTCGGTGAAGGAGACTGGAAGAGGTAGCTGGCCATCTCAAGGCTGGCGCCTGCGGAGGGTGGGACACTCAGCTGTGGGCTGAGAAGGGCGGTGGCGGTGGCGGTGGCGGTGGCGACACGGACTGGCTCTGAAGGAGAGAGTCGGTGCTGGGCAGTGTCGGAGAGGTGGGGCTAGGAAATGTAGGGACTCAGTTCTGGGCCCCAGACACACAGAAGGCAGCTTACTGTTCTTGATGAAGAGGGTCATACAGCTGCTGCCAGGAGAGGCCAGGCAGATGTCAGATCCCAGCAGGCACCCCAGCTCCTTGGTCTCCAAGAGGCACCGATAGCAGCGCAGGTATTTGGGGAACTCAGCTGGGTAAGGGGGCTCTTGATTGACAGGTTCAGTTTTACCTAGAACACAGACAAGCTCTGACCCCATGCCTCTGCCCGCCTATTTTCCAGGTCAACCCCACTGTCCCTCCCGCATCTCAGAAAACCATAAAATCACCAATTCTTTAAAACCATCCAGCCCAGCCAGTGTGGGTCAATGGTTGAGATTCGACCCATGAACCAGGAGATTTGATTCCAGGCAAGAGCACATGCCTGGGTTGCAGGCTTGATCCCCAGTGTGAGGTGTGCAGGAGGCAGCAGATCAATGATTCTCTTTCATCATTGATGTTTCAACCTCTCTGTCCCTCTCCCTTCTTCTTTGAAATCAATTAAAAACAAACAAACCCAGAAGTAAAAGCAAGAATACAGCATCACAGGATATGAAGAATCTCTGCTTTGTGCAGATAAGAGATTTCAAGCAGCCCAGGCCCACATTCTTTGTTCGGTGGTCCTATCACAGGACAGACTCATTTCTCATTTTTTTTTTTAATATTAAGAACACACTTTTTAAAAATTTTTTATTGATTTCAGAGAGGGAGAGCGAGAGAGAGAGATAGAAACATCAATGATGAGAAAGAATCATTAACCGGCTGCCTCCTGCACGCCCCCAACTGGGGACTGAGCCCACAACCTGGACATGTGCCCCTGACCCGAACTGAACCTGGGACCCTTCATTCCACAGTCCAATGCTCTATCCACTGATCTAAACCAGCTGGGGCAGGACAGACTCATATTAAACTTTGTGCACCAAAGCCCTCCCAACCACATGCATATATAGTTATCCCTTGGTATCCACAGGGGATTGGTTCCAAATTGATACAAAAATCTGCTCAAGTCCCTTATATCAGAATAGAGGCCCCATGCAACTGCGGCAGCTGCCTCAGCCCTCACAGCCTTGGCTTGGTCCAGAAGGTCGTCTGGAAGGATGTCCGGAAGGCTGTTTGGCTGTCTAGTCTAATTAGCATATTATGCTTTTATTATTATAGATGATGTAGTATTTGCATATAACCTATACACATCCTCCCAACTACGTTAAATCATGTATAGATTACTTGTAATACCTAATACAATGTAAATACTATATACTAGTATATAGATGTTATACTATATTCTTTAAGGAATAAAGACAGAAAAATGTCTGTACATGTTCAGTACAGACACAACCATCATAGGCCCTAACTACATAGTACACATTAGCAACAATATCATTTAAAAAATATTTTTCATCCTCGGTTGAACCCAGGGATGCGGAATACGCATATATGGAGGACTGACTGTACATCTGTCTCCCTCTTCCTCTGGTCCCTGGCCAAGACCACAGGTTAACGAGTCCCCAGTCCCAGCAGAGCACTAGGTGTGAGACAGATGCTGACAAATGTTTTGAATCCTGTTTCTATGGCGATGGTGCTTTGCAGCCAAGTGAGGAGGCGCTCAGGCTGTTCCAGCCTCTTTTTACCCTGTGGATCTGGTGCTGTCATCTAGCTTGCTCCCCAAACCCTCCCTATTCTGTGTTGTCCTGAGATGTTAATGGGTTCCCTTCAGTAACTCCATTCAGGTCATTGCTGTTGAGTGAGACAACCCTGGGGTGTCACTAGACATCTCCCTCAGAGTGGCCATCAGTGCATTAACAGTGGCCAGGCATTGTCCCAGCAAGCCCACTCACCCCATCTTCCTCCTGCCTGGGCAGATGTCCCCAACACCTGGTATCTGTGGGTTCCTCTACCCAGCAGGCCTTCGGATCCGTGCGAGCCACTTACCAAACACCAAGCTCATCACGACCAGCACTGTTAAGAGGACCATGTACAGAGCTTGGGGGGTGCTGTGGAGGCCCAGGGGCCCCAGACTCCGGCTGTGTGCAGGGCCTGCCGTAAAATGCATGACTGCCCACCAGCCTCCAGCATGCGCTTATATTGGTGGAAGAGAAGTTGGCCAAGAAGAAGGAGAGGGGCAACACCCATTTGGGATGGAAATTAGAGCCAAAACATCCAGAAGGACAGAGTGTTCTCGCCCACGGCCACTCTGGAACCTAACATCCTGGCTTGGGAACAGGAGCCGCAACAGGGGAATGAGACGGGAACATTCTTTATTTTAATATATATATTTCAGAGAGGAAGGGAGAGGGAGAGCAAGATAAAAACATCAATGAGAGAGAATCATGGATCAGCTGTCTCAACCCGGCATGTGCCCTGACTGGGATCCAACCGTGAGCCCACCAGCTGGGCACGCCATGTTCTAATTTTCAGTCTAGTAGTCATAGTAGTTGCTTCCTGGTTATCTTTGCAAACATTCCTTTGGGAAACTAGGCTGCTTCGGCGCAGTGCAAAGGTTATTCTGCCCGGTTTTAACATCCGGAAGGTTTGAGGCATAAGACTGGCACACAGGCAGCTCCTCTGGGAGGGCAGCTGCGGCTCCGTGGTTATTTACCCGGCCTTCTTAATGGGGGAGACAAGTCAATAAGCAACGGTGGGGCGGTGGAAGCCCCGGCAAAGGGGTTTCAGCAGAGGAATAACAGGACGGGCTTCGCTTATGAGATTCTGAGGCGGAACCGGTCAGGCAGCTGTTCCCGAGCCCAGTCACTAGATGGGGGCCTGGTCCTGCAGAAGAGAAGCCAGGAAGCCAGAAAGTGAGTGGCGCTGAGAGTGCTCATTTAAATGTTTGTTTTAGTTACAGTTCACTTCAGAAAAAATCGTTATTGTTGAAAGTATTACTTACGTCCCCCTTCTCCCCATCAGCCCCCTCCGCCCACCCCGGCCCCAGCCCTCACCATCTAATGGTCCGTGTCCGTGGGCCACGCATAGACGCACACAAGGTCTTTGGTTGGTTACCTCCCTCCCACCCGCCGCGCCTTCCCTCCGAGATTCCCACGCTGCTCCGTGCTTCCACGCCTCTGATCCACTCCGTTCGTGAATCGATCGGCGAGTTCAGAAGGAAGCCGACAGTTAGAGTCAGGCTGAGTGGGCGGGGAGGGGAGCGGGTAGACCGCACCGCGGTGACTTGGTGCGGTTTTCCAAGATGAGAAGGCGCAGGGCCCGCGGGTCCAGGAAGCCCACCCTTCCCCACGCCCGCTCCTGCCCGCCCCGCCGCGCTGGGCTGCGGGCCAGCGGCCTCATCTCCGGTGCCCACGGGCTCCGTGCGCTCCTCTCCGCGCCTGGCTGCCCCGCCGCGCCCCGGGAAGAACCTGGGGAGGCGCCGGCCCGCCGTGGCGGGACCACGCGGTCCCTAGACTAGCGGTGGGTCGCGCAGGGTCGGTGGGCGACGGGAAGTCCTCAGCGCCAGGTTCCGGCGGGAGGTCTGGGCGGGCACAGCAGGAGGCTCCCGCTTTGGCCCCAGACCAACCCAGAGCCCCGGATTGGGCGCTGATGGAGGGTGAGGAGACGCACGGGGGCGCGCTGGCGGCGGACGAGAGAGGAACGGAGGGGGCCGCCGCCGCGCGCCCCCAGAGCCGGGATGAACGAAATGACGGCTGCGTTAACACTGCACCCTTCAGTCGCCCCGGGGTGCCAGCGGAGGGCCTGGCACCCACTTAAACGCCTGCTGGATGGGTGAGAGGGACGGACGAAAAGAATCAGCAGCGGGCCCCCTCGAAGCGGACAGGGCGAAGGGGAGGCGGGAGGGACCATCACGGCGTCTCCGACCCTCCGCGAGGAGCCTGCACCCGCACCCGCAGGCTCAGGCCCGGGCTCCGGCGGCCCCGCCCTGCGGTCCGGGAGGCCTGGCGCGGAGCCCCGCAGCCGTGGGCCCTGCGGTCACAGGCGGGAGGGCGCGGGCGGGGTGTGGGGCGGGCCCGGCCTTCTCCGGACCCGGCGTGACCTCCCGCCCTCGTCCCTGTCCTTCCCAGCACCGGGGATGCTGAGGGAGACGGAAGCGGTCGGGCCTGAGGACAAAGTTTCAGGGATGGGGCAGGGCCACCGCTGCTCCTCGGCCCCCGGGGTGAGGAGGAAATGGAGAGGGACCTTTAACCCGAATGTAAACAATGCCTGGGTTCCCGAGGGAGCTGGGATGGCTTGTTGATGGATGGACGGACCGGTGGATGGATGGACGGACCGGTGGGTGGATGGATGGATGGATGGATGGATGGATGGATGGATGGACCGGTGGGTGGGTGGATGGATGGATGGATGGATGGATGGGTGGGTGGACGGACCGATGGGTGGGTGGATGGATGGATGATGGATGGATGGATGGACGGACCGGTGGGTGGATGGATGGATGGATGGATGGATGGACCGGTGGGTGGGTGGATGGATGGATGGATGGATGGATGGACGGACCGGTGGGTGGATGGATGGATGGATGGATGGATGGATGGATGGATGGATAAGGGAGTGGGCTGTCCCCCACGCCTGGGCCCCCCACCCTCTCACTGTACAGCTGTGAGGGAAATACATGCTCCTCTCAGGGGCCTGGAGTGAACCTCAACCCAAACCCGCAGTCAGCGGAGTCCAGCACCGCCCACTGGGAGCCGCGCGGGTGGAGCCTGGGCCAATGGACAGGGTAGGATAAGGGCTGGCCCAGCCTAAGACCCACTTCTTCCCAGGTTTCCCACTCAGAAGCTACCTCTCCTTTCTCCCAGCCTCCAGCCTCTCTCCCAGTTTGCCCAGCTACTCGGACACCTAGGTGTCAGGCCTGGCCTGGTGCCCAGCATAGCAACGTCTAGAACCCCAGCAGGCACCGGGTTGCATCTCAGCTGGTCTTGCCTGAGACTGCTGGAAACCTGCTACATAGGGTGAGGGAGTGAGGGAGCTGGCTGCGCCGGGGGTGGGGTGAGTGGGGATGGCACTGAAAACAAACGGCTGCTGGAGCCTTATTAGGTGGCGAGTAATTGGCAATAATTAGAGGAGGAAGACTGAGGCCCATGGGTGGGGTGGCCCAGATTCAAATGTTAAGCGTCCCCCTCCCCACTCCCCCCTTGAGGTGCCCAGGGCTCCTCGTGGCATTCAGGGTTCTCTGTAGTGCAGGGAAAGGGGAGGGGAGGGGGCGGTAGGGCAGGTCAGTAGAGCTCTTAGTGGCCAGGAAGGGGAGTCCTTTTTCTCCAGGGTGTGGGAGGTGGGGCTGGGTGCCCCTATTTGCATTTAAGGAGGTTCCTTTAGCTGAACAAAAACTTGGATTCCAGGGGATTAATTTCTGGTGGATCTGGGAGGGCCAGGTTCAGAACCAGGCTCTGGTACCAGGTCCCACGGCTTCCTGCTCGCACTCCCCACCCCGTTTGGCCCTGGGACAGACGGAGGAAAGGGTGCCACTCTCAGCTCTCCCATATTTGCTAAAGGTGGAACATTTTGGAGCTGTGGCCACCTCCCCTCTTTTAACCCCAAATATCAGGCGCAGTCACCTAAGTCTCAGATGACGCCTCCAGGAGGCGCAGAGTGCCACGCTGCTGAGCTGGCGGGAGCAGACCCCTCTGCCCGGGGCTTCATGCACGCGGCTGGAGACACTGCAATTAGCAAGAGGCTGTGGAGGACATGAGAACACTGTCACCCACGTATCTTGTTCAAACAGTGCGCCCAGGGTGGTCTAGGGGTGTCTCATCTGGGAAAGAGGGCTGATGGGTGAGAGGGACTCGTTCTGTTCCACGAGGTCCAAAGACTGGTAGTAGGAGAGAAGCTACAGGGAACGGATTTCCTCAGGTTCGACCTAAGAATGTTCTGACAGCTGCCCAAAAAGTGTGGTTCTGGGAGGACATGAGTCCTGGGCACCCAGCCCCTGGCAGGCCCTGTTTGTTAACTTGCGGAGGGTGTGAGGAGAGAGGCATGAGGGCATGGTGAGGAGGGGGTGCAGGATTTGCCGCATAAGACAGGGCGAGCAGACTGTTCCTCACTCCCCATGGAAGTAGCAAGAGCTGAGCAAGGAAAACGGGATACTATGGTGAAATCATGCCAGTTGGACCTGGAAATTGGTATACGAGCTGAGTAGGTAAAATCAGGCACTGGAGAGCACTTCTTGTAAACAAAGCTTGTGAGTTGAAGCAATAGGCCACCTGGGCTCCTGGGGTGGGTGTAGGCAGGGGGACTGTCAGGGCAGAGGCTGCAGTGGTGAGAACTGTAGGCACACCAGGGAAGGGTGAGGCTTGGGGGCCTGTTGCCTGAGGAGCAGCTGAGGTGGAGAGGGTTGAACTGGCTGGATGGGCTGGGATTTCCCAAAGCCCAGCCCTCAAGGCTTCAGCACCTTGTCCCTGGGTACTTGGGCAGTCACACAGTTAGCCAGCCAGTAGAAAAAATACCTTTTTATTAATTATTAGGAAAAATCCATTCATTTAAAGCAGGTGTGCCAGGAGGTTAGGTACTGCAGGATGGATGAAGGACCCATGCAAGAGGAACAGTGAAAAGGGGGTGGACTCCACGCTCCACAAACTAAACAGCAACATGAACACACAATCACAAATACGAGGGCCCGTCGTCAGGTCTCCTCCCACCCCAGTCCTTCAGCATGAGGCCCAGTGCTGACTTTAGAGGGCTGGTCCCTAGAGGTGCCAGGGCATCTGGAAGTGCTGGACCGGGAGCGGGGTGCAATGTGTGGCTTCGAAGTTGTGCAGATGTTTCTGGGCCTAAGGGAAGAGGCGGGACAAGTGGGGTGCACAGCACTGCAGTGAGTGGCAGCCACCAGACATCTCCCCACCCTCTACCTCCAAACCCACTACCCACTCTATAAAAGCTTTCACTTCCAACTGTCCCCAAGCCCCACATATGCCCCTGGCCACTCAGGCACCCCCATCTTGCTTCCCTCCCCTTAGCTCACCAGAAACAAAGCCAGCTGCTGCCTTTCACGTGCACTCATGTCCTCCCCTGCAGAGAGGAGGCGCTCAAACATGGCCCACGCATCTGGGCATTTACCCCCTTCCCGGGCTCTTCCCAACCCCCTCTCCTGCCCCAGGACCGCCTTACCCACACTCCAGGGGAAGTCTGG